TTTTGTTTGGAGAAATTTTGTAGGTTGAGGAAGAAATGCTGATGCGCAAGTATTATGAGTTTATGGCAGCTCAAGGTTTAGCTGACAAGGTACATATAGTTTTAACTTTATTTACATAATTTTTGCATAGGAGTAGGGAATATTATTTTGTGTTACAAGTCCATATCGACTTAGAATTATGTGTTGTCATCAAATGTGATTTGCCCTGTTGCTTTCGATTTGGCTATTTTCGCCTATTGACTCTGTACAGCGTACTTTGAAGAACCTATGATCAGCATATAATTTTGGTTTTTGTATTTAACCAAGTAAGTTCTGTGATGTGATAAGGTGAGAAGAGAACAAACTGATTTTTTCTAGCTGTTGTGAAGATTGCAAGGGAAATGAGATTGAAACTGTATGAGAAAGAGTAAGGACATGAAACAACTTTGAACTATGGCTGCTCGTAAAAGTTCACACGCGCTAGCCCGAAATGCCTGCAACTAATCAGTTAGTTTATTTATTTTTTTACGGATTATAGGACGCAGATTTTTTAAATTATGATCTTTTTGCAGAAGAACAACGGTGAGGAGACAACAGGGAATGGGGAAACTAGTCAAGCTGGAGCACTAGTGACTGTGAGCAGAGAAGGTTGAAGATCAACAAAAATTTGTTTCACTTATTGTTTATATGGGCATCCAATTTCCCTAAGGTGTGTTGACATGCAGCTATTTTTTGTTGAGGTTGTATTAGTCAATTGTGATTTCGGTTTTGTAAACAGAGCTGGGAAAGATCGCTTATTGAACACAAGAACAGCCTCGACTTTGTGAAAATAGATATTTTCATTCCCAAATTTGATATCAACATATACTTTTTCTACCTTATTTATCTCAATAAATTTGTCTTGTCCCATATTTTTGAATGTGAAGTGTGTCCTAAAGCATTCATAGTACTGCATCTCTCAAAACAAATCTGCCTAATGCCTACTTTTCACAAAAGAAGAAATACAATGTTTGTCCCTTTACCTCCAACCCCACCACTTCCAAGCTTAACTCTTTACTTTAACCCTTTTGCCCTTGTTTTTAAATTTTTGGCTTACATAAATAGTGTCCGCAAAGGAGATATTTATTACATGACATGGAATTTGATTAAAAGTAGTATCATCACATGATTTAATAATATAGTTCAGGTGTCTTAAACAATGATCACTTTTAGAATCAGCACCACTGCTCCCAGTCCCACCCTCAGATGAAAGATTATTTGTTATCATTATTATTAGATTTTCAACAGATAAGAAACAAAACAAATGAAATACACACAGTTATTAAAAAAGCATGTCAGAGCAGCAGAGGTGGTACAATAGTCAAACTGAATCAAAGTGTTCATCTCCATCTCACAAACTCACAACTTCTACTGCAATAATAGTACTTCATTCACTAGGTAAGAAGAAACCTGCAATGACTATAGCCTGCAACAATTAAAATGTTCTCCTCATCAGCCCAAAAATAAATAAATAGAAAACACAGTTGAAGGAGATTTGGATCGGAATTAATTAAAAAAAAAAAAAGAGGAAAGAGAAAGCTGACTTGGATCGGAATTAATGAGCATGGCTGTGCCAGCAAAGGCGCAAGTTGCACCACTCTTCTTATTCTTCTGCCAGTAACTGTTGAAAGCATAAGAGGCGTGCGCCACCACCGTGTTCGGAAAATAGCAGCTTCCTTCTTCCTTAATCGCCTCGCAATCCGCGCCTCCCTCCCCGCACGCAAAATCCAGCGCCTCCTGCAGAGTCTCCGCCGGCACGCTCGGCTTCGCCACGCACCACACCTCCTCCCGGGACCCAACCGCCGGCGCACCCGCAGATCCCGACGGCTCGCACGGCGGAAGATGCGGCCCGTACGGCGGGCTGGCCGCCGAAGCCAGAGGCGGGAGGAAATGCGGCGCCGCCGGCGAGATCGTCCCCACCAGCGGCGGCAGGGGGGGTTTCGCGGCTGGCGCTGGGAAAGGGACGACGTTGTTGCTGATGTCGATGGCGGAGAGTTTCCGGGAGGTGGGCAGGTTTCCGGCCATTTCGCTCGAAATGACCAAATTGACCCTCCCGGCGTGGAAAGCCTCGAGATTCTTCAGGGATTTCAGAAAATCGAAAATCTTTTCGGACAATGGGTCGGAATGTGGAGTCGGCGGGTTCACCGCAATCGGAGACCCAATATCTTGCAGAGTGATTAACAGAGGTTTAATGTGGTTTTGGGTTAAATCGGCGGACCTTCCGTCCAGGCAGTCGGAGGAAAAGGAAGTGGTGGCCTTGATGTCGTTCTGGAGGCCCCACCTGGTGAGGGAGTAGTGGAGGTTCCTGATGGCCGGCCGGACGAGGCCCAGCAGGCGGCGGTGGCGGCCGTCGCAGAAGACAGAGTGGCCGGCGATGATGGCGGTGACGTTGGTGGAAGGGTAGTGAGGTAGAACGTGGCTCCTGAGCCAAGTCTCGGCCGTTAAGACGCTGCCGGAGACATTTTTCAGGTGTTCGGCCGGGAGGTGGAAGGCGACGGGGTGGCCGTCGAGGGGCGGCAGTCGGAGGGCGGATGTCGGGTCGTGGAGCGGCAGTAGTTGCACTGGTTCTTGACCTTTGGCTGTGGAGAATAAGGAAAAAAATAAAAATAAATTAAAAATAAAAAACTTGTTATACTTATTAACTTCTTGTTCTGATTTTTGAGGTTATAAAAATACAATGTGAATAAAAAAATAAGTTGGAGATGTATTATCTTACCGGGTGAGGTCCTCACGAGGAGGAGGTGAACGAGAGAAAGCAGCCACACTATTTTCNCCGTGGAGAAAAAAATGTTATGTGGAGTTGGGAGGGTTTTGTGTTACCTAAAAAGACGAGCTTTTCTTTTTTCTCTCTGTGGACCTACTGTCTGTTTTTTTTACTGTAGCTATATATGGTTTTGTGAATATTTCAAATATTCATATAGATACAAAATTATGATAATTTTTGTCACTAGAAAAACTATCAATGCACAACTGTAATTTAATAAATTACACTTCACATCCAAAGTATTTTTCTTATCAAAGTACAGTTCACATTGTCTGAATACATTTTTCAGTGATTAGTGAAGTTCTCAACTTATGTCTAATTTTTCAGTCTATGTCATTTCACAATTTTCATTTTCCTAGTTATAATGTTTTACTCTTTGAATTAATCTCCCATTTGCTGGGAGTAAAAGATGTTGTAGACTAGTAGTAGTAAATACATGCTACAGTATTCAAGAATTTTTATAAGTTTGAATTATATAGTCTGGGTTTAATAGTAAAATAAAGGGTGAATCAGAATCCAAAAAAGGACTACCAGTTGGAGACAAGTGTATGTTAAATGCAACCGAAAGAACATATTCTGAGAACAGTGTCAGAACTCGCGATAGCCCAATTCACAAAAGAGGAGGCCCAGCCCAACACCAACTAATTTATAATTTTGGAGGAACAATTCTATAATCTATAGCATGTTGTTGAGCTCCGAAGAAAATGACTTCTGATTGGATATGAATTATTTTATTTTTCATCATGCAAGTTAATTTTTGTAAGTTGAGATAAAAAATATTTCAAACAAAAATGCACTATTTATTTTATTTCTTTTTATTCTCATCATTCAAAACAATAATTTTATTCACTTATTCACATATTTCTAACTATCCATTGTTAATTAATTATTTTTATACTATTTTAATCGTGACAATTTAATCCTAATTCAATTAAAAAATATATAATTTAGGGTTGATGAAACAAAAAACTTGTTTTATGCTAGCTTGTTTTCTCCAAAAATTCCTAAAACATCAATTTTGAAAAGATTTTTATTTTTTATTTTTTTTGTCAAAAAATTGGAATGAGACAAGTATTGTAAAAAAAAATCTTTTGTGGGCTCACCGCCTATGGACGTCCTTTGCTTCGTGGGAAGTGTTTGACTGTTGCGTCCAGCTGTTTTCTTACTGAGAGCAGCATTAGACCATTAGTACAGTGGGTAAAACTTGGATTTATCCTTTTTTTTACTTAGCTACGACGTCGTTAGGTCCCAAACATACAGTCCCCACCACTCCTCTTGCTCTGGTACGAAAAGAGTGTAAGTACTTTGGAGGTGAGGCCCACTTTCTGATATTGTAGAGTGTATGTCAGTATGGTGGTATTTATTTTGGGAATGGAAATGCAGCTATATTTGATTTGC